TTCCTGCTGGACTCCCAACCATTTTAATTTCTTAAGTGGATCAGAGATCTAGTAATCCCTGTGCCAGGAATTGGGGTTTTAGGTTATAACAAGGGTCGTGTCTGGATCAAGTCGTTGCTATATGCCTTGCTCATAGACGTGACTGAATTAGCGAATTAACTTGATTAATTATTTAGGAAAATGATTCCCCAGCGCCCTGCTATCTGGTATCACTGCAGACATTAGTTTCCTGTAGCATAGCTACAGATCTAGTAATCCCTGTGCCAGGAATTGGGGTTTTAGGTTATAACAAGGGTCGTGTCTGGATCAAGTCGTTGCTATATGCCTTGCTCATAGACGTGACTGAATTAGCGAATTAACTTGATTAATTATTTAGGAAAATGATTCCCCAGCGCCCTGCTATCTGGTATCACTGCAGACATTAGTTTCCTGTAGCATAGCTACTGTTGTTTTCACGTACCCAGGACATCCCAGTTGGGATTGGGAGGAGCCCAGAGGAGTCAGACCCATGGGTGAAAGTGTGTCCTGCGCCCTTGCTCAGCTCTGGGGCAAATTCTCTTTCTTTGGGACAGAGTTCCTCCCAGTCCTCTTGGTTGCACCAAGCACGCTTCCCCCTACCATATAACTGCTTGGCATTCCTAACAGAACATGGCGGGGGTGCGTGGCTTCCTCAAGTGTAAAGGCAGACAGCCTCCGACCAACCAAGATCTGCTGGGGGTTTGTACCGAGTGGAAGGAGACTCGGCCCTTGTTCCTGAAATCCTCTGATCATGTGCCAATCTGCTCCATGGCCTGATTTTTTTTTCAGATCAGGGATCATCTCCATTCCCATCAGCGCTCCGAGAGGCTGACCAGATGGCTCCAAAAATTCCACCAGGCCAAGAAGACAGTGAGTATATTTGCAAATACACAAGGCAAACATTCATCACACGTGCATGGGAACAAATCCGCTCCATTCCCTTCCCACAGGGCAAGGGCAGGATTGCGCCCGGTCTATTGTCCAGGGAATCTGGAGTCTAGGTGTCCTGAGACTGCATCAGACCGCTGTCCAGTCTCTCAGATCACGAAGGGTCATTACATTTCCTGTCAGACTACAACAGGCGGTGCACCGGAAACCTACCTTGGCCTCGTGGGCTAATTTGGGTCCTGCCATGGACCCAAATAGTAGGGTTTCACGTCAACATGTGGTGTCTGATCCGCCGGGGCTTTGTGCCTCGCAAAATCATTTAGATTTGTGCAAAACGCTGAGGAATCTGAATTCCCACCTCCCTCGCGCTGTTGGCAGAGCTTTACACCAACTTGCTATTCCCTTTGAAGAGAGGTAGGTGCTGGGCTGGGCAAAGGGAAAAGAGGCCCAGAGAGAATTCATTCATACAGATCTGTCCATGCCCAGGCCTTCTTAGGAATCAGAGCCAGGCCAAAATAATGCACTTGAAATGTAGCACTAACCCTTTTGCTTCATACAAACTCACTGGATAATGTACCAGTCTACAGCACCCATTGTTATATACTTAGAATTACAGCACAGTGTAAATGAGTCGTTGCTTAGGTTAGAGGGCTTGTCATGTCTCGTCTACACAGGGACAGCCAGGAAAATTAGTCTGATTTAGCTAACGGTGCGTGTTTGAAGCGGATTAGTGACACTGCATTAAATCCGTGTATGGAGGCAATCATTCAGAGTTCAAATGATCTTTCAAAGGGAAGTAACCAAATTAAGAGCATTTTCCTTTGGAATGAGGGGTTCACATAGGGACTGAATGCCATTTAACTAACCCACTTCACATTCACACAGTCAATTCAGATTAGCTTTCCTGGACGTCCTCATGTAAACAGTCCTCTGTTCACTTGCTTTGTGCACGCTCTGTGTTCTCTATTTGCACCTCCCCTTTCATCAAGCCTGTGGTAGCTCTAACTGGCCAGCCATTTTCTGTTACAAATGTGTTCCCTTCTTCTCCCCCATCTCAGAAAACTCCTGGGTGCCTGGAGGAATCTGTGATCTTCAATCTGTTCCGCCTGTTCAGCAGCTTAAAGTGCATGGCCAGTTCCTGCAACTAAACGCCGGGTCTTTACACCCTCCCACCTTGTGCCTTTCCCCAGACATTGGAGAGCCCAGCAAATGGAAACCCTAAATCCTTCCTACGTCTATTTGAACCAGGAGTGATGCTTTTCCACCTTGGCCTCTTACAGCAAACACCTATCGCCTCTGAGCAAAAGATTCACATGCAACTGAGCTTCAAGAAGATGCCTCTCTGATTTCAGCTGCCACTAGCTGACTGGGTGTAGGCCAATTTCTTACCTGCTGCTAATGTGTAAGGCCGTCTCCACTGATTTCAATACGAGATTGGCCATTGATCTCAGTAGGATTCAAATTTGGCCTGATAGGATAGTATTATTGATTGTATTCATGTATTGCTACACAAAGACATTTGCCAATAGTATGTTAAGTGTTGCCATTATATATTTGTATTTAAAAGACTGGTTTTTACACTGTTTCTTTGGTTTACGGACTAATGAGTATTTCATTAGTATCTATGGCTATGTCTACACTACCACCCTAGTTCAAACTAGGGTGGTAGTGTAGACATACCCTTAGAAAGATGCTGGAAATGCACCACGTCTGCTGCAGGGATGCTACTGCTGTATTACACAGATTCCTGGAATCTATTTTTGTTTTATTGGTTGACATAATGTTAAACCGTATTTAAACAAATCCAAGTTTTATTTAAGTTCTTTATTGTAAGTTATGGTTTATTTATATGCAAATTGAGCAACGGGACTGTTTTATACTATTTAACATAAAACTGGAAGCTGTCAAATAAAAATAGAAATGATACAAATGGATGATTGCCTGTCTGCTTGGTGTTCTCTTCTTATCACCTCAAAAAAAAAATAGCAAAAGTGATGATGGAAATACTGCCAGGCGAGGAGAAATAGAAGACATTTATATAGCCTAGATTAACCGGATGGTGAGAAGGGACATAACATGAAATAGTATAAAGTTCTAGGTATATTCCTATTAGAGGAAATTCCATGGAGAATTATAGGTGGCAGAACTAGGGGACCTTAGATTGCCCAAAAGACACCTGCAATAATAACTGTACTTACTACAGTATGTGTGGCACACAGCTCAAGAGTAGCATATTCCTGTTTTAACTGGAACTCGAATGTAACACGTGTTGTTGGTTACGTCCTTTGTATTGGTAAGCATTGGAACCAGTGTCAAGACACAGTTCGTGTTCAACTGCTGTTGCAGAATAATAGTGGTGTGGAGGCAGGAAAAAGGAATAAGGGAATTTGTGTGCAGCCATCTTGGTCTTGTTAACAAGAGAGCAAGGGTCAGGCTAAGTCTGTGGCCTGACAACACGAGATCTGTAATTAGATGCTGCCTTTGCCTCTCGCCTCCATACGGAGATAAGGATAGAACGCTGACTCTGGCAGAGACCATGAGATAAGGAGCATCTGGCTGGAACTAAAATAACTGTTAACCATTGGTGTTTGCAATGGGAAGGAGACTAACTGTTATTGTTATTATATGTAATGGACAGTATATAAACTGCTTCGTAATTGCTTGTATTCGAAGATCTGCCTCGGGGGGGGGGTGTTTTTCCCTTGCTGCAGCTCGTAATAAAACTGCCTCTGGCTACTTGTTGCTTAAACACAACGCAGAATGAGGACAATGTTTTCTTCCACAATATGGTGCCGTGACTCGGATGGCAACGCCCGATTGAGGACAGCGACAGCGGCTGCAGACCGTCCCCCTTCACCCTCAGGGCGCCAAACGAGAGGTAAGAGACCTTTTGAAATCTCTACTGGGGTGTGGAGGAGAACTGCCTGTGGGGTCGTCTGCCTCGCTAGGCTCACGCATCCGAACTTCTTGAATCTGTAACAAGGTCAGACGCAAAGCGGTTCCGGGGAGGTTGTTTTGTTACCCCCGAGTAGGCCTAAGTTTATGCAGTGCTGGGAACTGCTGTGGTTTTGATGGTGCCACCCCGGGTACGGGAAGAAAACTGTATTGGGTCCGGACATAAGGCACCTAGATTTATGCAGTGCTGGGAACTGCTGTGGTTTTGATGGTGCCACCCCGGGTACGGGAAGAAAACTGTATTGGGTCCGGACATAAGGCACCTAGATTTATGCAGTGCTGGGAACTGCTGTGGTTCTGGGGGGAAACGTGTTGTTTGCTGCCCCTGGGGGGAACAGTGTTGTTTGAAAATTTCTGTGTGAAAAGCATACTGAGTGTGAATGTAATGAGTGGAGAGTGAATGCCTCTGCCCAGGTCTCTGAGAAGTAAGATGATTCCAGCCGCACCAGGGCTCTCCCACAAGGGAATTCTGAACGCAAGTGGGGGTCAGTCGAACCTTGAGACCCAGTGGATATGTGAGGGAGTGACGACTCCCCTTATTTCATGAGCTGATGATAAGGTCTGACACTCTAGACCCAGCAGACCACAGTAACTGACCAACCAACACCTTGTGCTAAGGAAAAGCATTATAGCCTCACACATTAAGCCTGATCTGTGGTACAAGAGGGAAACTGAGGCATGCCACTGTTGGGGAGGGCTAGCAACTCTGAGGTAATTCAAGGGAGTGGAAGGTCACGAGTACCGATGAAGTGCCCTTGTTCTCGGAAAGTTGCAGCTCACTCGCCCATGGAAGTGGTAAGGAACTAGCTGTAACCAGTTCCCCTAGCAGATCTTAGGCAGTATTTTAAGTTACAATGGGCCACCCCAACGGGGGTAGAAATGTTTTCTTGTCTTTCAGATCATCAGAAAGCGCTGGTACCAGCTGAAGAAAAACAACAAACAACAACAACAAAAAACCAGGGTTCTGTGTTAGGACGTAATAAATTTGTGTTCTGTCCAAGTTTGTCTTGTGTGTCTTAATTGTAATATGTATTGCAAATATTGTTGTATGTAGGATATTTTTTTAATGAAAGGATAATTTGAGTAAAGCAGAAGCATTAATTTAAACCAACAAAATTAATAATTGGGCCCAATCAATTGGCAATCAATTGGCAACTCTAAACTTAATGAATTGGCAACTTTAAAATTTAGTGAAAGGATAATAGTTTGGTAATTGTTTAGGCTAGGAGAATGTTAACAGTGTCTCCACAGGTGAACCAAAAAAAGGAACTGGAAAGAAGCAAGAAGTGCATCATGTGAACAGAAGGACTGGGAGTGGGGTAACAGCCCTCTCCCCCACCGGATTGATTTTGCTTTAATGGCTACACAAATGAAATATTTAGCTTCTGTAAATTTGCACACCAACCATAAAAGTGGTTTGGCCAGAGATAATAAGAAATCTATAAGAAACAACACGGGCAAGTGAGACATCAGCATATGTAAGTAAAGATGCCCACAATAAAGAGGAAACTAGTAACCTCACCATTGCAACAACAGCTACTTGCCCTGCTACTCATTGGTGCCTGATGCCTTAAAAGGCCTCAAGAATTACGGAATTGCATGGGTTATCAATTAAACATCTGTGAACCATGCTTGGTCCTATAAGAGAAACAGTGACTCTAGTCAACGTAACCTCCTTCAAGTCACATACATAGAATAAATACACGCTAATAGCAATGGGGAATACACGGCCTTGGGCCGCCCCTCATTCACACAGAATTATTTTGTTTTTTGTAACAACATGAACACTACGAGGACAAAGAATACACAGTCCTCTGAGTTAAAGTTTGTATGGAATATTGTGGGAAAGAAGCTAAACACTAACATCAGGCCAAAGGCCCACCTGGACAGGGCATAGTATAACCATTTGTTTTTGGCCCCTCTGGGGATTCCTCACTTAGATCAGATCAGAATGGTAACCTCCCTGCCTGTACCAGAGCAGGAGAATATAGAGAGAGTTGAGGGCATTGCTTATTCTGAAGGAGTGGGAGCCTCCCTATACCCAGGGATTGTTGCACCCACTTTGATAAGGAAATTTTATGTACCTGCCCATTTAACATCATGACGAATCTGCCTAGGTTTGATGTGGTTGTCTCAGAGAAACAAAAACATCGAGCTGGTCCAAATAAATGGTACCTACTGGTGTTTGATTACCCAGACAGATCACTCCATCCTGCCCCTCTACATATCCGTCTGTGTGCATAACAGCCCCTTGCCGGATGATCCTGACCGTTGATGGAATGCGGCTCTATCACACTTCGGAGGTGAGAAAGGAACTATAGGAGTAAACTGAGGCAGTCCATGGTATCTTGCTAAGGACTAACAAACTCAAATCATTAAGTCAGCCTGAGAAGCATACGCTACAGCAGTTACTGTGACCCTGGTTCCCCTGGCAACCACATTCCAAAGGGCCTCACTTTGATAAGGCCGGTACCAAACAACCAAACAACTGCGCGGGATTGTTTTTACGGTTTGCTTTATTCCTAGGAAATAACCTTGGTTCCAAAGGAGCTAGCTGGCTTTTAGCTCAGAGAATAGAGACTCTTATGTCCATCAGCGAAAGACCGCTCTAGAAAGACCTTTACCAAGTTTTGCTAGCCACCAACACCGCTGTGATGTGCCAAGAACTGACTGTTGGCCAATGATTCTCACTGCAAAAAGACCCCTCCATCTCGAAATGATCCTACCCCGACTGCTGATAAGTCTCTCTTCTTCTGGTCCTGCTTTCCACCTGCTGGACACCAGAAGAACCAAAATATTACAGGGTGATGTGCTGGTAACCTCTCCCCTGCATGATGCTGAACCACGACTGTTTCAAGAAAAAAAGAGGAAAAGTCGCTCCTGTGACACCGCCAAAGCCCAATGATTTCTGACTACAAAAGGACATTAAGAACTGACCTTGGTGAAAGAAGCGAAGTATTGTATATTGCCAAGGAGAAACTTGTGGGAGTGGTTTGGGTTTCTCCCTTTGAACTGGACTCTGTGCTTATGGACATGTACCGTCAGCATGTACCTGCCCTCCCTAATTTGGTTACTAATTATGATATATTGTGTTATGTTACTAAAATTATAGAACAGCCCCATCATAGAATTATATTGGGGATATTAATGATTATATTGCTTTTGCTTATTAAAGGTTTCAAATTTGTTGTTGTAAAAGATGTAGTAATAAAAATAGCTTTTATGTTTGTACTAATTATGTAATGTTTAATGAAAATAAAGGTTTAGAAAGGTAGTTGTGCTGTAAGCACAAAAGGGGGGAGTGCGGAGGCAGGAAAAGGGAATTTGTGTGCAGCCATCTTGGTCTTGTTAACAAGAGAGCAAGAGTCAGGCTAAGTCTGTGGCCTGACAACGCGAGATCTGTAATTAGACGCTGCCTTTGCCTCTCGCCATCATGCGGAGATAAGGATAGAACGCTGACTCTGGCAGGGACCTTGAAATAAGGAGCATCTGGGTGGAACTAAAATAACTGTTAACCATTGGTGTTTGTAATAGGAAGGAGACTAATTGTTATTGTTATTATATCTAATAGACAGTATACAAACTGCTTCATTATTGCTTGTATTCGAAGATCTGCCTCGGGGGGGGGGGGGAGCGCTCCCCCTTAGGCCTGGATTTTTCCCTTGCTGCAGATCGTAATAAAACTGCCTCTGGATACTTGTTGCTTAAACACAACGCAGAGTGAAGGCTTGTTTTCTTCCACAGTGGCTACAATTTGTTCTGGTTTTGTCCTATGGGATCGATATTGAGGATTGGCTCTCAGAAAACCTGGATTTTATTCCCATCTCTGCTACTGACCTACTGGAGTGATGGATGACCTTAGGCAAGTCACTTTGCAGCCCCGTGCCTCAGTTTCTTCATCTGTAAAATGGGACTAATGATACTGTCCTCCTTTGTAAAGTGCTTTGAGAGCTAATGGTAAAAAGCACCGGGTATTATTATTATTATTATTATTATTAGCTCTCTATAATAGACAATAGCCTCATTCTCTGCTGACCAAGTGGTGTCTGGGCACCTGACCTTAGCACAAACTGCAGGATTTTAGCCAGGGCTGGAACCCAGCTGGTGATGATGTAAGAATCTCCAGAAATTTCAGTCTGGCTTCTGATTGTTTGTTTTTCCCACTTCGTCCGGTTTTGAGGAAAACCAACCAATCAGGGCTGCTGCAAGAAGCTGTCAGAGGTCTCCACCTTCCTCATATGCCGACACCACTCTCATAGGAGGAGACAGGGGCTGCGGCTGAGGAACACACCACGTCCTCCTTCTCTGCACCCCACAACACCCGGCTTGGGGAAGGGAAAAAGGGGACCTCAAAGCAGCTGCTTTCCCATCCCTGGAAGAGGGAGCCGGGAGAGACACAGACATCCATTCAATTAGGATTGGCAGATGGTTTAGCCTAAAATACTGAAACACCTTTGTCCCCCCCCTAAAAAAAACACTACCGGGGAAAAATTCTGTTGAGGGGAAAAAAAGAGGGAGACCAAACTTGTTGAGAAAAATAAATAATAATTACATTAATAAAAAAATAAAACAACACATCTTTTTTTAAAAAAACAAGAGCCTCTTAAGAAATGCTTTTGTGGCTTTTTGGCCCTAACAGGCTGCTGGCAGCCATCTGCCATCTTGTCTCCCTGCTCCGAGCCAGACAGCTCCCCTGCAGAACTAGAGAAGCACTCGGGATTTTCACCTCCTGGCTGGGAAAAAATCAGAAAATACCAAACATTTTAGGTGTCTGGTATATTCTAAATTTTTTTACCAGACAGGAGGTGAAAATACTGGATTGTCCGGGTCTAGGGTTGCCAGATGTTTTAATCAAAAATACCAAACTCCATCCCTCCAAAAGCAAAACACTACCGGGGAAAACATTCTGTTGAGAAAAAAGAAAGAGGGGGACCAAAGTTGTTGAACAAGAAAGAAAAAAAGGAAGAAAGAAAGAAAACAGCATGGCCCCTTTAAAAAAAGGGTTTTTTTTTTTTTTTCTTCTTTTTTTTTTTTTTGCTGCTGACCATCTTGTTTTTCTGCTCCAGCCACAAGACAGCTCCTCTGTGCAACCCGGTAAGCGGTGCGATGTGGGGACCTGGAAGAGGGTCCCGCGGGAAGTCCAGGGGGCAGGGCTGGGCCTGGGCCTGGTTGCTGGGTGTGTGTAGGGTTGCCTGGTATCTGGTATTTTTGCCTCCTGGCAAGGAAAAATAATCAGAAAATACTGGACATTTTATGTATTCGGTATTTTCTGAATTTTTTTACTGGCCAAGATGTGAAAATACTGGATTGTCCGGGTCAATACTGGACACCTAGCAACCCTGCATTCAATGTCCAGTGACAGTCAAAAAAGCAAACCGAATGTTCGGAATCATTTAAAAAGGGATTGAGAATAAGACGGAGAATATCTTATTTCCTCTGTATAAATCCATAGTACGCCCATATCTGGAATACTGCCTGCAGATGTAGAGAGATTAAAAAGACGAGAACTTTTCAGCCTATACAAGGGAAGACTGAGGGGAATACCACAGAGGGCTATAAAATCATGATCTCAAATGCAGGCGCTCCGCTTGGTAACAGTGTGGGAGAAACTCGACCGAGGGAATTGGTCGATGTGGTTCTCCTCCTGCTCAGGGGTGATAAATGGCAAGCAGGGGAAGTTGGAAGACGGAGTAATCGCGCTGGCAAGGCGTGTGGGACCCTGGGGACAGTGTGGAAAGGCGAAGTGGGAGTGGGAGTGTCACAGAGGCATCGTGTGGGGGCCCTGGAGACGGTGCGGGGGTTGGAGGCGGGGGAATCACAGCAGCAGGATGGTGAGGCCCTGAGGGTGGGGTAGTGGTTGAAGGTCATTGGCGTGTCACAGAAGCAGGGGGTGTGCGACTCTGGGAGCAGGGTGAAGGTTGGAGGCAAGATGTGTGAGGCCCAGGCAGCCGTGCGGGAGTGGGGTGAAGGGCTGGCACAGAGGCGGGGTGCACAGGGCCTGGGGAGCCGTGCGGGGGTGGGGCAGGGGGGCACAGAGGCGGGGTGCACAGGGCCTGGGGAGCCGTGCGGGGGTGGGGCAGGGTTGGAATACGGGGTGTCACAGAGGTGGGTTTCATGGGAAGGAGGCTGGGGGAACAGTGGCCCTCTTGTCTTATGAGAGGCCATGGTGAGGGGGATGGCAGAGGGAGCCAGGTGGGGGGTGACGTCTGGCTCTGAGGCAGGGTGGGGCCGGGGGGAAAGACCTGGGGTGCCTGACTGAGGTGGGGGAAGCTGCTGCACCGAGCACCAGCACGTTGTGACACAAGGGCCCACCCTGAAACATGCGTCTCCGGCTGCAGGGATGCAGCCACGTCAGCCTGGCTGGGCTGAGAGCATAAGCCTGGGAGCAGGCCGGGCCTTGTGGCAACCCAGCTCATGACTCAGCCCGTCGGCATGTGGGCGCTTCTCTCCCCCCCAGCCACTGCACTCACAGGGAGACCCCCGGCCCGGCTTGGATCCCTTCTGCTCTAGGAATATCAGTGGCACCATATCCAGTCCCATGCATTCCAGGGCTGCAGTACTACTGCGCTTATGGTAAAGGGACCACTATTAGGAGAATTATGGGACCGGGTCATTGGCATATAACTCACAGCAGCTGCTAGCATAGTCCCTGCCTGTAGTCAGTGTGTGCTCGCTGTTTGGGAGCTGAGCTGCAGGTAAGGGTAGAGCATTACATACCCTTGGTAGGAAAACAAGGGTATGTGTGGGGAAGGCGTGTGCCCCATGGGATGTCTGGGGTCCTGTTTGCATTGACCAGCAGGGCCTCCCTTTTTTTTCTACCAATAGTGAAGAAATTAAGCTAAGCTTCCATCTTCCAGTGACTTTTTTTCAGGCAGAGCTGGTGCTATGCATAAGCAGACTGAGCACTTGCTTGAACCTACCTGGGAATCCTGCATCGATTATTAGTATGTGTTGAGGAGGGCCTGGGATGTCTGGGGTCCTGTTTGCATTGACCAGCAGGGCCTCCCTTTTTTTTCTACCAATAGTGAAGAAATTAAGCTAAGCTTCCATCTTCCAGTGACTTTTTTTCAGGCAGAGCTGGTGCTATGCATAAGCAGACTGAGCACTTGCTTGAACCTACCTGGGAATCCTGCATCGATTATTAGTATGTGTTGAGGAGGGCCA